AACTCTTTATTATTCCTTACAACATAATCTAGTAATAGATGACCCTCTACCATCTATACCTAATTGTCTATTTTTCATAGCTGCGTATGGCATAACATTTACCCTTTTTTGTTGGTAAGTGAATTTTCCAGTGAATGTAAGGCTTTCGGTGATAAATTATAAGACCACAAATCTTAATTAGTGCAATATACTAGTACACCGACACTGCCTAAAACATTCCTGTCGGTTCATTGTTGGATATGGAGACCCCAATGTTCCTTTCTTTCACCATCACACTTTACTTCTCTTTCGTTTTTCCCTTCCGAAAGAACAAAAGAAGTTACCATATTGATTTGAAGCCTTCCCTAAAGAGCCATAATCACTTTCCCAGTTCTTCTTCTGTTTGGGGTAGAGTTTAAATCCCTAACTCAAAAGCATATACATATATGTATATTAAGAGACAAATACAAGGGTCTTTTCCCTCGATGCTCTAGTTTCGAGAATCTTCTTTCAAAACTTTGATGCTGCACCCAGTTGGGTTCGGTTACGAATATGTACAAACTACAAATTACATTGATTCATATGATATAATTAAGGCCTGTATATTTTTACTGCTACATCAGAAGTCTCATTTATCTAAACACTTCAATAGGATTATAGTTTTTCTTCTTCAATTTTGCTGGTCATTCTGTTACTAAAACCCACTGCCTAAAATTGCAGATCCCATAAATTCCGTGGATCTATAGTAAAGAACTTTAGGTTTAACCTTTTTAATTCCTAACAAGCCAAAGTCCTGATTGCCCTGTCAACTTTTATGATAGGTATATGTATAACAATGTAGGCATCATTAATACAGCTTTGAATTTGGTGATACCATATCTATAGCCCTCCTTTTCCATGCGCAAACAGTTTGATTGCCACCACCCAAATCACATGCATAGCTATAAAAGTTTCAACAGGGACATTTATAGAACTTTGAGGACTTTTTTTTCTCTCAAAATGGTGACTCTGCTGACCCTTTTCTACTGGGAACCCATGTTCTCCCATGTGGGTTGTGTTCCCTCCTCTCCAGACCCTGCACTTCCGGAATCTAATCCATGCCCTTGTTTTTTCTTCTCCAGTAACCTACACCTATTCATTCTTGGCAGCCCACCATCTTCAAAAACACAACGGTGGGCTCAAGGACAGACCACAAAATGCAAGCTAATATTAGAGCCTCCCCCTTCCAACCTTAGACCCATCTTTGAACAACAAATTAAACATCTTAATACACTTGCCACGTGTTAGAACTTAATTCAACCAACAATCACAACAACAAACTCAAGATCGGTTAGTTTTAAAATGTTTGGTATGAGATGATATTTCAAATACATTCTTTTAAAAATATATGGAGAGCGGTTTATCTAATAACAAACGCCCCGTAATGTATATAGTTCACGTTCAGACGTACCAAAAAGGGGAATCGAACCAATGATGACAAAGTATAAATGCAATGCAAGCCAATGATAGCTAAAGCACACACGAAAATGCACTATTGTCCCGTGTCTAGTGCGTGGAAGGATAAGATCATCCCGTTGTGGCACTATTAAAATGATTTGAAATTTGAGTCAATCTTTGCCCCCAAATTCATTTTTCTATCACGGAAATGGTACCATTCACATTGTCCTTCATTAGTACTATTATACGAGGGAAAGGCATTTTGATTAGACTAATAATTTCCACCGACACTTTGCACAAATTTTATTTCATGTATCAATTATATATTATTTTTTACAATAATTAGTAGTTTTCTAGTTTAAACTGTATTAAACTATGAAAATCAAATTATTATATGAATGGTCAATTTTATATGATCTAAAATACTAAAGATATTTTTTCTTTGACGATATGTAAATACTACATACATTGCGTTAGATTACGTTACTAGGCTTTTTCAATCACCAATTCAAGGCTTCGTAAATCATTTTCATGGTAAAAGTTTTAATTATTATTCATATAAGTTGTTATAGTAAATCATTGTCTTATAGTAAAAATTTTAATTATTATTCATATAAGTTGTTAAATTTTTATTTAAAAGTTATGTCTAAAAAAATTAAAAAGTCAAATTAAATCTGCTAAATATAAATAGAGAGAGTAATCATTTTTCTATTAATTATAAATACCATTAAAAATTGTTAATATTGCTAAGTATCCATAGCACATTTTCTCTATGATCTTGCTCACTCTTAACATTGTAGGTAAGGTTGAGTAGAGTTGTAATTGAGCTAAATAACTTACAAGTTATTTACGAAGTAACTTAATTCAAACTTAAATAATAACTAAACTCAAGCTCAAGTTTAATCTTAAAATCAATGACATTATCAAATTACTTACAAACTACTCATAAATGGATGATTAAAATAAAATATATAGTATTTTATATAAAATAGTATTATATTTATTTTACAAAAAAAATATTGTATAATTCGATACAACTAAAATTGTTGAATGAGGATAACTCCTTAATATTAAAAGCTATCTCCTATTCAACATTTCTCATTTCATATATAATTTGATACAATTTAAACTTCAAAACAAAAAACTCTAATTATATTAGACTTAAGGAGTAACTCTATTTTGATTTTGAAAGCCTATTGAGTTTAAACTCCACTCTTCAAAGCCTTAATAAGGCTCGAGTGTGATTCTACCTCGAGCTCTAATAATGAGGTTGGACTTTTATTTACAACCCCAGCTATTAATGGGACAATCAATGCTAGATTCGAAAATAATGAGAGAGGAGACTAATGGATGATTGTGCGCTAGCTTTCTTTCTTCTATAATGAATCTTGGCAATAAAATAAGATGCATTTTGTGTTTTGTTTTGTAAATCATTGAGCAGGGTTAGCCTATCTTCTGCCTAATGCTTCATTATTATAGGCTACAACTATATCATTATAAACTCTAAGTGATGAATAAAATATACTTTTAAAATGCCAATGTCACTAATCACACTCATTAATAAATAATGTTGGAAGGAAGAAGTGAACCCCTTAAAAATAATTGATCCATGTGCTAAGTTAGTAGTCATAAGTAGCAAGTGCTCCAAAAGAGAAATCAAATATTAATGGGCCAAAGCCCTTTATTTAGTATCCAAGTTCCTATCATGATTCATGATTGATGTGGATTCCTTTTCTTCCCATCATTTTCACTTTGAAATTACATTTTTCTAGTAATTCCACGTTGACAAAGTTGGATCCACTATGGATTTGTTCATCCATTTATTGATATATAAGGATTGCTTCTTTCTAGCAGGTTTTGGGGGGGGTGGGGGGTGGGAATACTGTTATTGGATTTTAGGAAGGCCCAGGAGTGAGGGTAGAGGCCAATTTTGGTTTGTTCCTCACTGACATCTTGCAGCCACGGATTTCCAGACAAAATGGGCTTAATCGAAACAGGTCTGTCCGCACTGATGTCACGTTACAACTTGGAGGAACTTGGAGGAAAGGCGATTGGAACCCATATTGTAAGCGAATGTCTCTCTGACTTGTGCAACAATAACACGCTTAGCATTCACTTCAAAAATACCATGCGCTTTCACAATCACAAGGGGAAAATGGCACCTCGGAATATGGTTGGGGTAAGGGAACTTGATCCCCAAATCATACAAACGGGCATTTACCTATTGCAACTCTCATGTGGTTTCAAAAATGTGTACGCAATCCCAGACAACTAAATATTGTTCAAGTATAAATACCAGAGAAGAAAGGATATAAAGAAATTGTAAAGTGGATAAAAAGGGACTCAAAAAGGGGAAAGCTATTCTCAATTTGGTGTAACACATCACATTCTGCCCATGGATTCAACCTGGTCACCATCATCAAATTCAGATGGACGAAACAGAAGGGTTAGGCAGAAGTACAGGGCATGATGTGGTCATCAACCTTGGAAAGTAGGGCCACCAGTTGTTAAGTGATGGGCTGGCATCTGACTACAGATTGGCTGATGCTGGTCCAAAAACTAACACAGCTCAATACCTTTTAAGTTATGAGTGGATTCAAGAATGCAGTTTCGATAATAATCAAGTGATAAATGAACATTAACAGATGTTTTCATTTCAACTATTAACAACTTGAAGGCCTGTGTTTTAACCATTTTTCTTAAATATCAACCCATGTTGGCCTTTGCTACCTAATTTAAATCTTCACAATTATTATGTTTGTTTCTCTATTTACAGAATAGACAAGGAAACCTAAACACCAAATGCAATGTGTCTAACCTGATTGATTAGAGATGGTGAAAGGGGATGCCTTATGAATTGCTAACTGAGATCAATATCAACTCGCTCAGGGTTTCCCCTTTCAGTCTGATTGTTAACTAACTCTACACCTAGCTGTCCTTTGTCTCCTGCACCAAATGCATAAAGTTTCCCCGATTCTGTGAGCGCGAAGGTGTGGGCATTCCAGTATATTGAGTTGGTAAGGCTGATCTGTACCACCCGTTCATTCATCTGCTTCAGTGATGTTACTAGCTCTGGGCTCAAGACATTTGCATGCCTATTCCCCTGTAACAAACACAAAACATGATCATTACTCTGAAGTTCAAAAGCTCCCAAGGAAAACATTTCTATATCAATCTCCTATTAAAGCTAATTTATGCATGAGAAACTTAAAGAGATTAATGATTTGTGCAATAAATGGACATGTACCTTTTTCAATATCTAGAGATTCAGTTAATGATCTTACCAGAAACACATTTTCTTTTACATAAGGCTTAAAGGAACTAAGGAAGTGGCCCTAAAGAGAGAGACAGCCAAGTGTAATACAAGGAACTGAGAAAAATATGTTGCATTTCAAACTAAGCAGAATGGATGAAACATTATTCATAAGCTGAACATTTCAGGAACCATCCAATGTGCTTGGCCAATATTAAAAGATATTGATTGAATTCAGCACAATCAAGTTTAAGGTTCAATCTAAGATCAGGAATTAGGAGCAAAATTCCAGAAAGCCAAGTCCCAAAAAAAAAAAAAAAAAAAAGACCAAAAAATAAAGAGACTAGTCAAAGACAGTTATACCTGTCCATCAGCAAAAATGCTATGTCCTAGACTAGCAGATTCACCACATCCAAAGGAGAATACATCACCATCATCAGATACCACAAAGGTTGTGTAATCCCCTGTAGCAACATGAACAGCTTTGACATTTCTTAATGCTTCCACCACCTTCGGAACTGATTCACACTCCTCATTTCCATGACCTAAGCATCCATAACGCCCCCAACCCCATGTACAAACCCGTCCATCCCGACCTACCACAGCTGCATGCCAAGCACCAGCAGCAACCACCATAGGCTGGAGGTTCAAATTCTGAAATTGTTCAATACGGCGAGGGTATTTCTCGTCAGTTCTTGATCCATGTCCTAGCTTCCCTCCCAAGCCACAGCCAACAGAGTACACCGACCTGCAATTACCAAAAATAGAGCCAGTTGAGCTTTTATTTTGAGACAATAGTCAATTTATAATGATAGGCAGAATTGTTAGGTATTGAGATGAATACAGTCAGAGGGCCTAAATAACTAATTCCTGTTACAATTTTGGAAATCAAGGCTGTATTAATGAAAAGGATAAAGTGGAAGAGGTAAATCGGAATTAAGAACTTCAATGGAGCTAATTTGGATAGAAATTTAATAATGTAATTTAGAAACAGAGCTAGTATTGGCAAAGAAAGAGGAAAAAAAAAGAAGAAGAAGAAAAGAAACAGAATAATTATGCTGTCAAATGAAGAATAATTTAGAAAAGTTAAGTTATTTAAAATCTTACGCTATATTTAGAAGATGTTTTCTTGCTGAGTTGAAAAGAAATAAATAAGAAATTTAAAAACAGATAAGCTTACATGCGACCGTCAGGTTCACAAGCTAGACAAAGAAGGTAGCAGTATCCTGCCGCAATTTGTACGACGGGAATGTTCTCTAATGGCCCCAGCAAAGGATGGGGCTCAACATCATTTGGCTCCGTTGAGTGACCAAGCTTCCCATCGTTGCCCCAAGAGAATGTATAAACCCTGCCCTCCCTGGACAGGACAGCTGTGAAGAAATTTCCAATTGCAGCTTGCACAACAAATATATCTTTCAGAGACTCAACAAGCTGCGGAGTCGTAACAAGTTTAGATCCCTGAACCCCATATTCAATTTCGCCAAATGAGTCCTTTCCAAAGGCATAAACTTTCCCAGCATCACTAATCAGCATTGTTCTGCCAGCTCCAGCAGCTGCTTGGATAATACGAATTTCTTGCAGTGATCTGCAATATAATGGAGTTCTATTAACCAGTTGTCTTTCATTTTCTTGGATTTACAGTATCAGATTTAAGCAGTGATGAAACGTTTAGCAACCTGATTGGCCGAGGCCGCCAGTCCTCTTCAGTGTGGCCATGTCCTAGCTGTCCTGAACTATTAGAGCCAAAAGAATAAACTACTCCCTTTGATGTCACAGCAATACTGTGGCCGGGCCCTGCAATTGCTTGAGATTTCTCCCTCCTGAAACACGTTTCTCCAGCCAGCAGAAACCTGAGTACCAACTTCCATGAACCCCCACATCTTTGTTTCAAATTTTGACGCTCTTCTTCTGTCATTGGCTTAAATATAGCCCTCTCTTGACACATGTCAAGAGCAGCAAGCTCTGCTATGGACAATTCATGGTCAGGGGCAAAGTTTGCCGGCTGCCTAAAGAAGGAGCATGTTGCCTGCATCACACCCCCATATACAAATCAAATCAGCAGCATTATCAATTCTAACACATAAAAAGAGCCACATTTTAACAATGGTCAAGCAAAAAGCCACTTACCTCTAGTTTTGCAAGATCCTGAGCATCCAAATTACAAGCTGTAAGGACATGAAGGACAATAGAAGGATTGGCAGCCAAGGGGAATTCCCCAGGTTTTGAGTCCCCAAAGCAGTGTCGTATTTGTCGTTGAAATGTGGTTACAGGAGGAGCAACAATAGGAGCTATTGGCTGATCAGGTATGCTATGGTGTTGTATAGTTGGGGTTCCGCTCGTGCTGGCATCCATGGGCACTGCCCAAGTCCTGCAGTGCCCAAACTAGACAAAGGAGATAACCTAAATTTCTAAAAATTACAAAAAAATATCCAACCATAAATCAACTAAAGTACTTCTAATGATCCAACATTACAACACTTAGAGCCTAAACTTTACAAGTGAAAACCTCAGGCAAAAAATTTCTACCTTAGAAAGCAATTGATCAGCAAACTTCAAGTCTCAAACCTACAGATGAAAAGATATGCTCATCAAACTCCTTATATCTCAAAAGTGAAAAGAAAACTAATTTGCACCAAAAACTATGTCAAATAAAATGTTATGATGAGATGATCATTCCACAACCAAAAAAAAATTTGGTCTGATCAATTGATTATTCCTTACAAAGCCAATATAAACCCAGCTTAGATGATGGTGAGAAGAAATTATGAAACAGAGAAACAGGAAGAAGAGAAACAATGGCATAAACCAGGGAATTGTAAAGGTGCGGTCTAAAGGAGAAAGCTTTGAAGATAAGAATAGTAGTCCGCCATGAAAGGGATATTCCACACTCAAAAGAAACTCGGAAAGAAAAGAATTTCCAAATCAGAAGCTACACTGTTGTTCACGTAAACCCAATTCAACGCAGCAAAGTCAGATTGACCTGATCAAAATGAACCCCAACAAGCAAGATAAACATCCACCCCTCACACCCCAAAAACAGGGGATAAAACACTTGTATCCAACCTGGGAAAATTTGAGAAAAGTTCCATCTTTTCCCCAAACCCAGATCGTGAAAATCACCATCAGATTATCCGATTGGCAAGTAGGCTCAATCACGCAACAAAAAGAAGCAAAAAGGGTATCCAAACATGACAAAAAAGAAGCACATGTTTAACAAGATCATTACAGATCAAGGCAATACAATACAGAAATGAAAATTACATATCAGCAAGATCCAGAATTCCTGAAATCCCATCTGCATCTGTCAATAAATAAAGAGAATTACAGTTTTTCTGAACCAAAAACAGCAAAATTCAGATCAAATTCAAGAGTAAGCAAGCAGGTATCAGGAATATCACCAAAAGGGCTTTGAGCAAAATGGATTGTTGATTGGGATACTTTAAAAGGATGATGATTATCGAGAAAATAAAGGAATGGAATTTGGAATTTCTGTGTTTTTTAATGGGAGAGGTGTTCTTCTCCCATATCTATACGTTTTACAAAGCGATGAGGTGGCTACCTATAAGATGGTGAAAGAAGAAATGGTTCATTACCCTTCAATTTATATACCCGGGGCTAAGTTTACACGTCACCTGCCTCTAAACTATGGTAACTGGCGCTTATCACAACCTCTGGTTCAGCCGAAATCTAAGGCCAAATGTGAACCCCTAACATGATCAAGGCTCGATAAAAATAGCACCTTTACCCAAAGGTTATATCTTTGGTCGGCGGATAGTTTCCTCCTATCTTATTCAATAAGTAAGGTTTTAGCTCTAGGGTATTCTTGATTGATTAGATGTGGTGGTTTCCTTTTCCATCTCTAGTCTTTGTTTTAACGTGATATTAACTTGAATTTAAAATCTTTATTAGTAAACGTAACTATAATAACTTTTGTTAAAATTATGTATTAATTGTCATTTTTTTTTTATTTCTGCTGGAGAGTGGTATAAGACTTGCAAGTACCAAGATTCGAACGCTGGCCAACTAGAAGGAGAAGAACCTTACTTCTCGATTTCCAGCCAACAGGGTCAAGAGCCCCAGTATTAATTGTTATTTTTATTGTGCAATTACAATTATAAATCAAACAAGAAAAAATAAATTGTTTTGGTTTTGATTTTGATTTTGGTGTTTAAGCTATAGATAATAATAATTATAGATCAATAAATATTATTTATTAATTTCCGTCATTCACTATTAATAAATCTAAACAAAATCTAATCATAAAAGTTATTTTATCAAACAACCTCTTAGTAGTTAGTACAATTCTTTTTTTTTCTAGACAATAGTTTCAATGTACCATATTATAATCCACGCTAGCATTTATAAAGTTTGGAAAATTGTTAGGGGGCAATGAAGTCACAGTTGTGACATGACATGAAAGAGAGAGGTTGCTTCATTGGCACCTCTGGGTAGAGAAGTTATTCATGCTGTCTGCGGCTGGCATCACCAAATAAAGAAGCAGAATTGTGCTTGTTTCAAACCTCATATTAATTCATGAGGGGAAAAAAAAGTCCCCAATTATTGTAGTTTATCATTTTCATAGGGTGCTAAAACCAAGTTTTAGGGCAGAGTCCAACCGACCTCTCATACTTTATAATATGCTAATAGAACGAGCAAATTTTCTTTCAGGACTGCAAAGAAATACCAATCCAGCCAGTGCAGATAGCCAACCTTTAGATGTAGACTGAAAACCGGCTTAGCAATGGTATTTTTATGGGATTTGGGAACTACAAATATAATGATATTGATAAAAGTCTTTGGACCCTTTTTTTTTTTTTTTTTTTTTTTGTTTTGAAATTTGAGGCAAAGGGTTTGAACATGAAATTTTTTAAAGATTTCTTTGCATCCTTTTACTATTGGATGGATAGATTGACAATTTCAGAGCCTTTGCATTTACATATTTATGCAAAATGAGTAGATTGGAGCTATAATCCAGTGGGATTAACGGTAGGTAGGTGTGGGATTCTCTGGAGAAAAAAGTTAGGCAAGTAAAAGCAAAAGCATTATAAAGAACGATCTGAAATGAAAAGAATAAAGCAACAAGATATACTTGGATGTTCGTTTCAATTTTAAGTCTTAAGCAAGGAACAAAAAATTTCCATATCTGATAATCCAGTTTCGTATCCCCCTATCCCTAAACAGTGTGTTGTTAAAAAATAAAAAATAAAAAAGGAGAAAAAAAAAAAGAAAACACATTTCAATGCAATAATAATGTCAAAAAACTTACCTATGTTATCAAGGAGTAGTCTTATGTAATAAGTGTTTTGCATTTTAAATTATTGAAAAAAAAAAAAAATTCAACAGGTTCATTTAAAGCTAATATAATTAGGCTTGTGGACGTGAAAGCATCTTGAATGGACCTGTTCCCCAATGTTTCAAGAAACATATGCATCTTCATCAGCTGTCATTTATTAAAGCAAATATTAAAGAGAAAACCTTTTCATGATGCGAACTTCTTTGAGGGAAAGCAACATATTAACACTCGATCATTGTGTCCTCCACGCTAATTATCAATTTGACCCTCTCAGGTGGATAATACCGTTGAAATTCTATTATTAATTCCATAATATATTGAGACCCATTGAAACAGATTTTAATTAGTGTTTGTTTAACTCAACTTCTAATAAAATTTTTTTTACTTCAAAAGTTAGAGTTAGTATAAATATAATTTTCTAATAAAAGGTCTTATAATTTTTCTAAAAGCAATTTTCAACTTTCAATAAATAAAAAATTGAAACTTTAAAATTATTGTTTCTGAATTATCTCTTTTTTATTGAAGAAATTGATAATTTTTATTAATTTTTAAAAATTATATATATATTTTTATATTAACCTCTTTATATCCGGTAGCTACATTGGGTTCTGATTAATCCGAAATCGAACCACGTTGGATCTCATTAATAAAAACTCTTTCAATGCCTGTTTTTCCATTAATAAGATTTGAAGAATCGAATTCTTTTTACTAAGACCAATAACTCGTTGATTAATTATATTATATAAATACATGATTCAACACTTCAAAAAAATCTACTCAAACAAAATTGCACCATGGGGTTATTAATACTTCAATCAATATACCTCTAAGGTATTCTCTATTGATTTTGTAAGTAGCTTGGCCTAATGTTATCATACTAAAACCTAACAAAGAATAGGCCTCAACACGTGTATCGTCATCATTGGAACATATTCCAACTTAATTGTGCATATTACTTTGGTTTTGGAATACTTGAAACAATGATTAATCAGTGGGGGGGATTGGAGAGGGGCCATGGAGGTCAGCTTCACATACATATCCATTATTTGCAGCCCCATGCTTTTGGAAATGGACTGCATTGTGTCTTCTTTTGATTATCTTTACTTTATTTGTTTCTTAATTCATTATTACCTTCTGCAAACTATTATAAATTAAAGGGCAGAATTAGCAATTTACTTGTTTTCTAATTAACCCTTAATTATAATAATATAATGAAGCAGTTAACTTAATCAATGTAGAAAAGAGAAGATACTTGGAAATTTAGTATAATGTTAACTTGCCTTCAGAAGAAACTAGAAAACCTTGCGGAATACTTCATTGGCATGTGTTGGAGATCAAGTTACAAGATGCTGGAGAATATTTTGAATATTTTTCTGTTTTGTGGGTACTGTTGCTTCTGTTCTCCCGTAATTGAGGACCAACACGGTTGGACAACATTACAAGCAAACGATTTTTTTTTTTTTTTATATATATATTTTACCGACAATCTATGCTTGCAATGCTTCTTTGATTTTAAATTTGTAATTATAATATATTATTAAATA